TGCTGAGCAAAATTATCACCTGGTACCGTATTTAGATCAAGGAAATAAGTCGGAATATAACCTTTCTTTCCATCTTCTTTCTCAACTTCTGCATATCCTTCTCTATCAATATTTATAATTTTCACCTGTAAAAACTACCATTTGCAAACATTTTCAATTATTCCGATAAAGTAAATTACCTGTGCAGTAATTGTGTCATATAAAATTATAAGTAATTCATTTCGTACATAAAAATTAAGTTATATTCACATAAAATATTAAGAATCATATAATTAAAATTGATAATCATTTAATTCATCATCCATTAATCAATATTATCTAATTTCCGCACATAAACATTACTTTTACTCTTAGTGTATCAATATTTGTTGCTGTCTTAGAATTGTTTTCATCTCTTATCATTCACTCAATCAATTAATCAATCAATCAATCAATCAATCAATTAATCAATCAATCATTTTTCTAGCTTATTTTAAATTTCGGAGAGGAAATGGTAATGAATATGAATATTAATCAAATTTTTCAACATTTTGATTTAATTTAATGATATTTGACAATCAGCAATAATAACCTTTTCACCCCGATGGCCACTAATTTGCTTTTTTTTCACTGCACTAAATGAGCAATTCATTATAGCACATACTTCATGTGTATTTTTTTGTTCACATATCGATGATTGTTCCTAAAAATGAGTTTAAAATTAATGTTTTTTTTTTTTTTTTTTTTTTAAAGAAAAAATATTTATGGTTTTTAATTAAGCATGATCATAAATTATTTTTAATTATATTCAAATTTAATTTGCAGTAAGTTCTAGTAATCTAGATTTCAAATATGATTAAAGATTATTCTCTTGTGCTGTTTTTCTTTGCTTAACAAACTAATATAAAGGACCAGTTTTGGCAAATTTTGATAAATCATTTAATACTGTGACAAGTTTAAATTATTTCATCAAGGCTATCTCATTGTTTCATAAACCGAATCTATCCGGAATAATCAGTACCGGCATAATTAAAGCATTTTTTTTTCCACCGAGATATTTATCATACCAACTAAACCATAAATTCTTCTTCTCGTCATGCTTAATAATACTTTTAGTTATGTTAGCATACAGTAGTAATTTTTTTGGTTTTGCATCAACTTTTAACAATATTTTCTCCAATGTATTTTCAGAAATTTTGTTGGATTACAATTTTTTTTAAATTAAATTTTAGATTAAAAAGAAGAAAGTTACTATAAACAAATAATTGTTTATTTGATAGCGTTAAAACAAAGCGATAAATACAACAGAATGATAAGTAAATAAATAAACAAATAAATAAATAAATGAATAAAAGGGAATAATACTGAATGATATAACACATATTAAACAGTTTAAACAAAAATAAAACAAACCGTTATCGTTCCATCTGACATATTTTCCAGTTTATATGTATTTTCCCAAGTAAAAATTTCAAATTATTAGTATAAATTGTTGTCGTCTAATCAACAAAGCAGAACAACTGCTAAAAGCTAAAGCAGAAAGAAGAAATTATTAGTTCTTAACTGATTCATTTCTTAACAACAACTCAAACTATACTAAACACACATTTCTCCTTCATCTTCTTTATTATCATCATTTCAATATTTACTCATCAAATAATTCTTTAAAAAAAAAAAAATAACATGACAGTTAATCAAATGTGAGAAATGTTTTCAAGAAATCACATATTTTTCTATTATCCAATAATTTTCATTTCTTCTCTCTTCTCATTGATTATTAATCAATCAAAAATCATTCTCTTCAATTTTTAATCCATTTAATATCATTTAATCTGATAAAATTTACTAATCAAAACTAATGAAATTATCAGAATAGAATAGTCGAGAATGGTCCTGAAAATCGAGAACTCCAGATGATCAGTTATATAATCATTACTATCGAATACACTAAAGATATTTTGAGTAAGTTAAAATTTTTACAACCTAAATAAATGATGCCAATATATTGTGTGTAGCTTTCTTGAATCCGAAATAGCTGTAATTTCCTGAAATCAAATGTTACTATTCTATTTAACTTAGAGCACGCCGATCCGGAAATAATTTTTTTCTAATAATAAAGTACTGAAAATCGAATTTTATCATATCAGTAGGGTAGAAAACGGAATTCATTTAATGTCTTATAGTTTGCTTAATAGTCCGTGTAATGAAATTTTTTGTCATTCTATTTATGATAATTTATATATTATATGCAGTTGGAAAACAATTTCTGTTATATTTAGAAGCAATGTTTATTACGGCCATAAAAGAAAAAAATATATATAAATATCAAAAAGCAAAAATATGGAAAAACAGCAGAGATCAAAGAAAAGATAAAAAAAATTTTACCAGAAAATTTCATTTTTTTTCTTCTTTTTCCTAGCGAAGTTTTCATTTTTCATTATCTAAGACTAGTTAGAAAAAAAAAACAAATTAAGAAGAGAATTTGAAATGTGAATAGAAAAGGAAATGTGTTTGTGTGTGTGTGTGATAAAAGTGATAAGGAAAAGAGGAAAAGAAAGATTTAAAAATAAAAAAAAAATCCTAGGCACCTAATGATGTTTGGATAAAAAAAGTTTATCCATCTATCATAAATATCAGTAAAAAAAAAATATCTTTTATTTATTTACTTATTTTTTTCATTTTCAAAAGTTTCATTCATTTTATTTGAAAATGTAAAAAAGAAATCGAAATGAGGAGAAAAATTAGCACACTGCATGCATTTCAATCAGTAGCAATAAATTAAAACAAATGCATTGAGAAACAATAATTTTAACAAATAATATATAATGAAAGGAAGAAAAAGAAGAGCAATAAGAAAAAAAAAATGAATAATTGTTATATATGGGATTATAAATTATAATAATAATTTAATATATTATCATATTAACACTTCTTATCTTTTTCTGTTCCTCAAAATAATATTTAATGATAATTTTATTAAATCAAATGCTTCATGCATCTAAACAAGCATGTAACAAAAGAACTGCGAATGCAATCAATGAAATATTTAAAAAAAAAACAAATGAATCGTTCACTTCTCGTAATTAATATTTGAATAGAAACCTAAAACTGAAACATTGAAGATAAAAAAAAGACTAACATCAAATACACTAATATTTGCACAAAATTTTATATTCAAAAATAAATAAAAAACATTTGTTATCACATCTGTTTTATGCTAATTGCTGCAATTTTGGAGAAAGAAAAAAAAAAATAAATGAAAGCTACAAAGTATTTTCGATAAAATCTTTGTTTTTTTTATTGAGTATTTTAATAATTCGCACAAAAAAAAATTGGCAATAAAAAAAGGATAGATTGTCAGGGGAAAATTCGGTAAATATCTGCGATTTTTTTAAAAACTTTAAAAAAAAAAACTCCCGATTTCTTGTTCCAAAATTAGCAGCAATATTTGATAATAGCATCATCATCTTCTTCTTTTTTTTTTTTTAAGAACAATATGTAAGCTCATTTGTCGAATAAAAAAAAAATGAAACATAAAGGAAAAATACACAAAAAATTTTTTACAATTAATAATAATAAAAATATGTACAGAGCGTTTTTTTTTTCCTCATCTTTGTATTGAATACAATTTAAGTGCAATAAAAATGGAAAATTTTGTATCGAAGAGAAACTGAAATAATTTCACTATTAAATGGAAAAAAAAAAGTGATGAAAAATAAAAGAAAAAGAAACTGATTAGCAATTCCATAAAAAATTGATTCAAAGTTTGTTGTCTGATTGTGTGGAGAGAAACTTATGAATTGAAATGGCATTAATTTGAAATGAAATGATAAAATAATGGAGGAAAAAAAAAATGAATACCAATAAATACCAATAAAAAAAAAAAAAACAGAAAACACCGGTTTAGTTTTAGACGCAAATTCGAATCCGACATTTTTTTTTTAGAGAAAACCGTAATCAATTTTTTTTTTTTCTTATACATACATGAGAAAAAAAAGAAGTTTACTAAAAACGTACTGTATAATTAAAACAATATATATGCATGTATATATATAAGCGAAGCAAATTTAAATTAAGCAATAAATTTCAAACAAATAAAATCCCTCATAATCTTTCAATAATTCTCAGGACATTTTCATCATCAAAACGTATGCTGGCACTCAAATTGTACAAATCTATTCATATACACAATAGCTATATTCATAACAAATAGCATAACAAGGAAATTTATTCGAAAATTATGCGAATAAATTAAAATAAATAAACCAGTAAATAAATAAAAAAGGAATTGCCAAGTTCAAATACAAAAGAAAGAGTTCCGAGGAGTTTGCTCATTATAGCCTGAAAATTACTGTAAATAACATCTCTCTTTTCTCCATTCCTCAACTTCGACCTACAGTTAAAATAGTTTATTTTATATCACTGAACATAAAAATCTCCCTAATAATGTACTAAAAAATTTTCAAACAAAGTTTCAAATTCAGTTTTTTGTTGCATATTTTCAAATAAAAAACAAAACAAAAAAAAAAAAACAAAGCTTTTCTTTCTCACTTCACCTCAAACGATGAATCCCTGGTGATTTTGTCGATTGAAAAATTTTTGCCTAATAAAAGCTATTCTTTCTTAACTTAAAAAATTTTGACAAGCTATGCATTATCACTAGCGCAATGAAAAACAGTTTCTAACAAAGTTTTTTTTTTTTTTTTTCTGTTAACTCATTTATCAAAAAAGGCAACTCAATATTTCAAAAACGCTTGAACAATGCAAAAAAAAAAACAATTGGATTATTTTAAAATGCTAACTGAATAGTTCGAAAAAGTCTGCAGAATAATCCAAACAGTTTGCTGGAATTATCAGAAATTGACTCAATAATCTTCTAAGCTGATCGATTTCTCCCAAAGATGACAAAAATAACTAGAAGGCAATAATTGCTGCTACCAAAAGGTACATAATAACCTTGATAATTTATGACAAATTTCACTTCTTGTTCCTCTTCTTTAATTTCTTCCAGTAACCTGGCTTCACTTTAATTTACCTACTGCTGCTGACTTATTACTACTTGTTGGATTCATTTTTTTTCCAAAACCAAACAACTTCGAAGATTTTGTCGATGAATTAGTTTTCGATGATAGTGTTTGAATGCTAGAATTCTGATGCATCGAAGATGAAGCACCTAAAAAAGTGTGACTGCTTTCTTTACTTTTACCAGTTAACCGTGGAAACAACGTCTTCTTCTTATCCACTTCTTCCCTGAAATTTGAGATAATCAAGTAAAATCATGTAAAAATGAAAATAATCAAAAGTATAATCGAAATAGAAGAAAAAGCATACATTTTAATAAGTAGATGTAAATATTATACATCAATTTGGTTATGCTCAAAATAAACCAGAAAAAAGTAATAATTACCAGCACATAATGCAGCAAATATTGAAAAAAAAAAAAAAAAAAATAGCATATTGCCTGCCTTTATAGCAAAATAAAGAAATTTTTTGTTATAAACGCTATCGTAACATCTAATAATTCGATATTATTGCGATGAGGTTTAAAAAAAAAAAAAGACAACCTAAATTGGTATTTAGAAAATGCCACTATGACGAAAACAGAGAAAAGCTTACAATGACAATGAGTTAACACTTCCAGCAAGTTGATTTTGATAACGTTTAGGATCTACCAAAGCTGCCAGAAGTGTTTTTTGCTGATCCAATTGACTATTTATTTTCGAAATCCACTGATCTTTTTCTTCCATTGTATTAGCTTGCGCTAAGAATGCGTTCGGTTGTGACGGATCATTACTCTTTAGAATAAAACGTAACGGTTCATCAGCAACAGTTGCTTCCAATACCATCTAAAATGAACAAAAACTATAAGATTTTTCCAAGAAAAATTTGATGCTAAGAAAAATTAAAAAAAAAACCTCAAAAAAGGACAAAAAACAAGTAAATTTGCAGCGAATCAAAGCAGATGCTATTTGAATGTAAAGAAGATACCAAATGTTATCGAAATTTTAGGGAAAGTTGAAAATTTTCATCCTTTTCAAAAAGAAAAAAGATTGAAAAGTTTAGAATTGATCTATTTTTCTCATTATTATACTTGTTGACTTAATCAAAAAACAAACTGATGACATTATCGAGAACACTGGCACAAGATTACTTTAGTTATATCAAGTAAAACTCATGCAGTAAAATATAATCTATGTAATAGATTACTTATTGAAAATGCTTATTTTACCACAATTTTAAATGATCTTTTGAGAAAATTCGAGTGTCAAAATCATTCCCTATTATTATATTCTTATATTGAACTAACAAAAAGTAATGAAGAATATAAACATAAAGGAATGATGTTTATATTTTATAAGCATTGCTTAATGCCTCTTTTATAAAATTTTCAAAAGTCTTTCTTTAATAAATTTAAAAGCTAAAAGTCTGTTTTCTTTTTCCCTTTCTAAACACATCTACCTCACTCTGCTTCTTCTTTCATGATTCTCCTCTTCACAAGAACTCTAATGTAGCAAAGGAAAAACCTGAAAATCCAAACTTTGAGAGTCAAAAATTGCCATCAACAACTTCAAACTATACTATATATTCCCTCCAAACAAAAACAATCACTTCCTGGTACTTCATTTTTAAAAAAGTAAAATTTTATAACATGTTTTCGATGTTCCTTTTTCTCTCCATGTCTCTCAGATTTTGTTGTGACAGAATAATTGCTCTTTTTAAATGTTATATTTGTCACCTTTAAAATTCTGATTTCTCCTTATAAGAAAGGGATCAATAGTAAGTAACCGATGAATGAAGAAGACTATTGAACTATTCCCATTAATGTCAAACAAATAATTCATATATAATCACCGATATGATAAAACAGTTAATCGTAAGCTTAGTGACATAAATACGAAGAAATAAATACTTGGGCAATGAGAATGATGAATTTGTAATATTTTATAAAAACATCCCCTGTTATACTTTTTATGCTCTGTCCTGTCAGTACCTAACTTTTTCATTTCCTATCCTAAGTTATACGTCATATTGCAACATATCAACATATCGTTTAAATTCACACTTCTTAATATTAGATATTACTTGTCATACGGTAGAATGAAATTATCACGATGGCATTTCCTTCCTCCTATTTTAAGCAATATCTCATCATGTGAGAAATAACGGATATTAATTTCCAGTTTAGATGGAATAATGCTATAATAAACTACTCAGAAAGAGATGAAGAGGAAAAAAAAAGCCAAAATTATGTTCAGAAAAGAGAATGAATTTTTCCTCCTTTAGGAATATTATATTTTACAATGCTATAGGAAATATGCCAACCAATTCTTCAATCTATAAATATTCTATAATGGTTTGTAATCAAAATTTAACCACAAAATTATGTAAAAATTGAAGGATAAATCAAAACCATGTTTTTTTTTTCGACCTTTCAGTTAAAATTAAAGAAATTTAGTACAGTACATCTTCATTTATTTACAAATTAAGATTGAGAAACAAAAGGAACAAAAAAACAAAAAAAAAAAAAAAAACCTAAACTCCTACGTAAAATTAAAGTAAACAAACTTACTTTATTAACCATAATTTGACTTTTGAAGATGTATGTAGGATTACCAAATTCTTTCTTCGGCAAAATACAATCGGCAATGATTGCAGACTGCTCAAACAAAAATATTCGCCTATCTTTTCCTTTGAAAGGCTGTGATGGAGTATTATCTGAGATTGCCACTGTTCCCTGTGAAAGTTTGTTCAGTTTTACGAAATAATTTTCAAAATTTATGTACAATTTACGTACATCACTTACTTATACTACATCGCATTTGCATGAATTAATGCTATCACTTGAAATTACATAGAATGTTTTATGATTAATTATTAATGTAGGCATGACCGCATATTTTTGATTTTCGTGAATGATAAATGTAGATAGATAAACCTGATATATCAATTTCCCTTGAGCACTTAAATTTCCGTCGAAATTTTGCAATCGGCCAACTTGCATCATATCATCGCATGCTTTTGGTACTACATGCATTACCTATAAAACAAAATTTATAATCTTTGTCCAATTCTATCATTATGATTATAGATCTATGTAATAGCATTAGATAACAAATGACATAATATAATGATTTCGCTTTGCAGTATATCTAATTGAATTCTTTCTAATTTCAGCTATCTCTCGATCTGTACTAGACGAGAAAAATCTTAAAATTAAATCACTACTGTTCTTGAGTTAACTAAGAAAAAAAAACGGCAATTGAACTACAGGAAATATGAACTCTTCTAAATACATAAATAAACCTGAAGAGCTTTTTCCAAGATATCCATTCGATCACCCGCTCTTTCTGTATATTTCAAAATATCCTTCATCAATAATTGATATTTCATTATACGCTGTACTGGCTTGATTAAGAGATCACATAGTGCTATCTTGTGACCCAATTTCTGTTTTGTTTCAGCGAAGAACTAAATTGTGAATTAGCTATCTTTTTGGGAGTAACAACAACAACAACAACAAAGAAACCACTTAGGTAAGATTTTGAATCTTTTATAGAAGAATACATGATGAGTGGAATAATAAAAAAAAATAAAAGTGAGACACAAAACTTTATTTTTGATGTTGAAATTTTCATGAAGAAGGGAAAGATATTATTTTAAGCCTCAACAAAAAGTCTCATCAAAGAGTGAACACAACACAGAATGATAAAGCTTTGATCATTTTAAAGTATATCATACATTAAATCGAATATTTAGATAATTCTGATGAGAAAAGAATTATGCGCAGTAATTGCTTAATATATGGCAAACAATAAACTCAACAACAAAGTGGTAGAATTAAGAGGAAGTGAGATTTCACAAACATAAACATACCTGTTCAAAATCATCCTGTGCCATCAGAAAGTCTGACTTTGGCTTATTCTGACAATATTTCACATAATATGTATGTAGCCTTCGTTCCTGCAATAAATCAATTATTTAAAATGCCTATTCTACAATCTCTAATGATTCTAGTTGCAATTCATTATTTACGTCATTCAATGAGCTAAGCAGGTTGAAAAGTTGTTACAACCAACGGATTTCATTTTACACAATTATTGTATAATGATATATTAGAACTTCCCATTCAACCAAAAATTTTAAAGTGCATCTAATCAACAGTTTATTCTGCTGTACATTTCATTGATATACAAATCTGAATTAGCGTAAATTCAAGTAATAATTAAGTGGAAAAACCATTAAGCAAAAAACTTACCAAAAATGATCATCAAAAAGTTTTCAGATAAAAAGGGATTTCAGATTAAAAAGGAGAGTAGACAGTAATCAGGCGATGAAAGCAACATGAACTGTGAGTAATCTATATAAACTCCTTATCATGCACAATTAACGATTATACATGATGAAAAAGTTCAATAAACTGAAAATTTTGTCTGAATGAAAAAATGGAAGATGCTAAACTTACGTATTTAACAAAGGCATTACCCGCAGCTTCATAATCTTCGAGGCACTTTTCAATTTCTTTTAAAAATAACCTGAAAAATAAAGTAAAATAAAGGAAACGGTTAAAAACTGTACTGTAAAGTAGTGGCGTTAAAAAAAATTTAAGGAAAAATAAATGAATAAAGTAATAAATAACATAAAATAATAGGCAAGAATAAAATAATTACGTTTTGTGAAAATCAAGAATCTGAGCAATATTTGCAAAAATAATTTTATCTTTGCCAACCAAATCCTCCGGCAATTCCATCGTTTGCAAATTTGCCATATATCCATCTACCACTGAACTCAAATCTTTTACATAATCCCGTTCTGTATCGACCAATTCCATTAGCACATATCTAAGAACAAAAATAAAATGTGAATTTTGAATACAGATAAATATTTGAATCATGATCCCACTTAATGATAACCAACCAATAATTTAAGCTAATCACAACCATCAACAACTATTCTACATCCAGTCATAAGTTATAACAATTATAAGCTAATGGCAATTACTATCAATAGAACCAATTAATATTAATCAAGTAAAATCACTGTGTACCAATTCCAAGCTAATAAATACTTTGCTAATATAAATCATAATTGTTGAATTCAAAAAAATAAAAGAATACGAACTGTCGCTTTTGCCTTGCAATATCCTGAGGATTTTTTTCTGCCTTTCCTGAAGCACTGCTTTGATCTTCCGTTGTTTCAGTACAAACAACTAATACATCGCTTGCGTGTTGTTCTTCCATCTATAATATTCCACATTTGAAACCAGCTAACAGTTTTGAAATTTAAGCAGGCATTTTATTTTATATGTTTCCAAATAAAGCAACTCTAAAATGATTATTTCAAAATAACACTATTATGCTTACAAATGATTATGTATTATGCTGAAACAGATAGCAGCTAATGTATTAAATATATACATAATATTAGCTACAGTTATTATCCAATAAACTATCCGTATTCAAGCAAATTCAAAAAAAAAAAAAACTTCTAAAAAAGAAAAAATCCATAAAAGACAGGATTCTTTCATGTATACCACCATCATATTATCCCCAATTTTTTTTTTCTTCAAATTATGTAAAATAGAAAAACATTAAAAAATATTAATCTATTTTGCTTTCGTTATAAACTAGAAATTGATTACATCGCTAAAACTTTAAAAAAAAAGAAAAAAAAGACAGAAAAACTAGCACATCGAATGTCATTAATGGAAAAAGCTTCCAATTTTTTTATTTTCCTCTTCTGTTTTTTACATCTCAAATATATCTGGTAAAAAAAGAGAGAAATGGTGGGAAAGAACAAGGAAGACATAGGAAAACCTCGGAAATAGAAATAATGGAAAAAAGTGAATAATAGGATTAAAGTAGTGATATAACAATAATAACAATAATAATAGAAATTATTAGTAATAATAATACGGAATCTTTGGTAATAAGTATTTATCTCTTATCTTGGTCTTATCACTACTTCTCTAAGTAACCAACAACTGCTCAACTTTATATTCCTTTCCTTTTTTTTAAAACACTTTTTCTCCTCCACACTCTTTTACCTTCACTTTCTTTGAAAAATTTTCATAGAACGTAATGAATTAAAAAAACGAACGTGGAAAAAGTTTTTAGAAAAAACTGACAATTTCCAGATAATATAACATAGAAACTATGATATAACAGCTAGTCTGCCTTCTATCATCTTCCTCATTTACTTAACTTGTTATTATATGTATCATTTGATCAAAGATTATTTGGTCACTATAATTTACCAATATTTTAACAAGTGAATTAGAAAATTTGAATTAAATAAAGCTATCAATATTTCAGGAACAAAGCAGTTGTGTATTCAGTAGAACAAAGGCAAATTCATGCAAATATTTTTAACTTCCTTTTTTTTTTTTTCATTTTGTTCCCTAATCTTCATATGATTCCCAATTTCCCAGAACATATCCACCAAACAGTAAATGTCGATCTCTTTTACAAGATTACCTTTGCTGCTAAAATATTTCCCCATATTTGGAAATCTCGATTATGACAAACGTATCTACATCCGATACGTAGTCGATTTTAATATCGACCATATTACCTGATACATATTGGTTATATCAGAAATTTCCGAAAAATTATTGGGATTATCCGTTAAGTTACGTTCTATTTATTTTCATCTTATTTGATTAAACGATTAACAATTTAGAATTATACAAATAATCAATACTGTAAATTAATTATAAGCGAACATGTACTGAAATTAAGAAAAAAGAATTTCTCAATGAAGTTTCAAATAACTACATTTCAGTAATAACTTACTATGCAACCGTAATATGCCATTCAAAAAAATATCATTCGCTCTTTCTTATATCTTCTAAGATTTTTATAGTTACATGTTAACAAAAGACGAAAACAAAAGAAGTACATAGCAATATTAGAATACTTCGGGAAAATGTTAGTAAAAGTGATTTTTTCATCTCTACTAAATATAAATTTGAATTTATGTATATAAAGCAATTCATTTTTCCTTTCTTTTTTTTTTTTTTTTCAACAGCAAAAAACTTTCAAACCAAAAAAGCAATAATGTTTAGTTAGAAAGAACAAATTGGTAATCAGCCTTGTATTTCCATTCCAATTCCCCTTCCTATATATTGGGCCATATGCATCTATCTACTTACCCTAAAATTCATATATAATAAATGCCTTACTATCTTAATCTGCTCTAACTCTACTCTACCCATTTTTGAATAATTTTATTCCATAATTTCACATGTATGCATACCCAGATGGCTTAGTACACTCCTGGGATTTTATCTATTTCTCTTCCTTTTTTTAGCCTTCTATCATTAAGTTTAACTTATCAGTAGTTAGTTTAGATTAGCTACTACTAGCTTTGCTCCTGTTGCTGCAGCATGACGATCTCGTCTAGATAAGTCAATCTTGTTTTTGAATTCTTTGCATTTTACTCCTCCAAATAGCATAAGTTCATCATTTGCATCAATATGCATACATCTCACCTCTTTATGCTAACCCATTTTCAATTCGAGCTGCAAATATAATAATATCCTTACGTAGATGCGTAAAAATTACATTACTGCAATCAGCAATTTATGCAATCTATTCCTATTATCATTTTTCCTTCCTAAAAATTCACCCTTATTTAAATTTAAATTCTTTTTTTCCCTTCTTCTCCCTTTTTTTCTCATATGCTTATTTCTCAACTGTCTAACAAACTATCAAAAAAAAAAATTTTTCTATTTATTATAGTAATACCAAAAAAATTTTTAAACACAATGTACTTAAATCTTCAAATATTTTCCGCCAACAATACTTTGTTATCATCAGAAAACAACTCAAAATTATTAATGAACCACATGGCTATTCACGGGGAAAGAAAGCATTAAAAAAATGAAATTATTATGGAGATCAATTACTACTGACTGATAACAGTCAAATTCGTCATCAATTGTCACAGAAAACTGAAAATTCATTAACAACCGATTATTAGATTACCAAAAGGTAATTTAAAAAAAAAAAAAACTTAAAAAGTTAATTCCCAATCCTTTCAATCGGGTGATGTTAGCAGCTTATCGAAGGCAAGATTTCCAGATCACTGACTTCTTAAAATTGTCAGTGAAGATTTAAATTTTCTTCATTTCTACATACCTAACTAACGAAAAGAACAGAACAGTTTAGCAATTTCCTTATCAAAAACCTCAGTCCAAGAAGTATACACTTAATCGTATCCCAAATCAATTATGTCACCACCGTACATCGCTTGAAAATATACCATATTGAATAAGAAATATCCATCAGTATAAATTAATCAAAATTCAATACAAAAAAAAAAAGTGTAAAAAAAAGGTAAAGAGAAAAAAACTTTTCGTGAACTCTCCGTTAAAACTGAAACAAATTTAGATCTCAATTCATTTGCTGTTATTTTTTTCATTCTAAATTTTCAACGAAATAGAACAATTAATTTGTAGTAAAGTTGGAAATCAAAAGCAAGCTGAGATAAAAAGAAAAGAAGACCAAAATAAGATTCATGCTGATAGGATGTAACTATCTCGATAACTAATCATCATTATAAAATAATGTGAATAATAAATGTGCAAATGCATTTTCCAACTTATCATATAATTCTTCCTTTTCAATTATTTATTTAATCTTTTTTCTCTCACTAACTTTAGCAACATAATATCATTTCATTGTAAATAACAAATATATGATAGAAGCAACATAAGTAAAAATATTTCTTTAATAAAAAAAGGAAAAAAAAAAACAAAAATGTGATTGATAATTTCTTCATTTTTTTTTTTTTTATAAATTTTAAGCGCTATTGTTGTGTTAGAATGAAATTATGAAAAGAAAAAAAAACAGTATATATTAAAATGTAATGTGATTGACATTTGCTGGTATTGTAATTTGGCATATTACTAAAGTAGTAGTAGTAGTAAGAAAGTGGAAAAGTCTCATAAAATTTCCATAGTAGAGCAATTACTAAATGCAAAGTTTGATATTTACTACGACATCATATCATAAATGAGAAGTATTTCACTAATAAAGTTCAGATAAATAAGTGCATAAAAACAATTTCTACTTATAAATGCAAATTTATTTAAAAATAGTTCTAATGAAAATAGTAAAATGACAAACATAAGTAAAAAAAAAAAAAAAAAAAAAACTTTAACTAGTAAACTAATTTAAAACTAAAATGTAGTTGACAAATAATTCTGTCAAATGCTTATGAAAAATGCAAAAGATTAACTTGATTACTAAATTGTGTGCAGTATCGTTCTTGCTAATAAATGTATTCAAATGAATTTGACATGACGAAAAAATGAAATGAAAGGAAAGAAAAGAAATTGAAATGGATCAAAAATATCTGAAAGGAATTTAAATTTGCAAAAAAAAAAAAAAAAATAAAATAAAAGTTTCATAAAATAAAAATTACTTACTGATGTGTTTCTAGAAGCAGCAGCATCAGCTACAGCACTACTTAATTCACTCATTGGTGGTGGTAATTCAAATTCACCCTGATCGGAGAATGATGCTATTGACTCAGTTGTTGGATCAATTAATGGAGGATTCACTGAAAGTAATCCTCCAGCAACGGTAGTTGATGCTTCTTCTTGCCCACTTGTCGAATGTGTTTGATCGTCACACAATGATAAAACACTATGAGCACCTCCTGCTGTTCTTGTACCAACAATCGTTAAATCTGATTCTACGAAATCCTAAAAAAATAAACAAATAAAAAAAAAAAAAAAAAAAAAAAAAAAACTACCAACACTGTTACCTGCACTAACTTATTACATTGATTTCATTTTGTAATAATAATAATAATCAATTAAGCTATAGCAATTATCTACTTTCTTTTTTTTTTCACAATGAAAAAAAAAGAAAGATTATTTCGATTAATTATTCCACAACAATTCAATTAATTAAAATAAGATTATTCAAACTACAAATGAAAAAATTTGCATTAGAAAACATTTCGGCAATACATTAAGAAAATGTGCTGTAGTGACAAATGAAATTAAAATTACAACATGACAAAAAAAAAAAAAAATCATTGCAAATAAATAACCCATAAAACAATGACAGCAAATATTAAAATGAAGAAAAATATGTTTAAAATGAAATATACAACTATGAAAAAAAAAAAAAAAAGAAAAGAGAAATGAGAAGAAAAGGTAATTCAGTCATTTTATGACACAATAATGTAAATTAAACAAAATAAGCAAGTAAATGAGATAATCAAAATGAAAGCCCAATTCTCTTCTGTTTCTTTTCCTCTTTAGTAAACATTATTTTGGAATATATAAGACAGGGATGAAAAAGACAGAGAGAGAGAGAGAGAGAGAGAGAGAGAAGGAGTGAAAAAAAAAAGAAGGGAATTGAAGAAAAGTCATTTCTTTTATCCCATTTTCTAAGGGATAACAATACAAGTTAAAAAGGATTGTGATGAGAAAATAATAAACAACATTTATATTATTTCGTTTGATAGAAAAAAAAAAAAAGAATTTCAAGATCATAATATATGAAAAGGCAAAAAAAAATGATGATAAATATTGGGAAAAATATTCGAAGGATGGTGAAAGTAAAAATGGGAAAAAAGAAGAAATAGGAAAGGTAAACAAAAGAATGAAAAGAAAATAAAAGAGAGGGAAGAGAGATACATTAAAATTCAACATTAATACTAAAAATTAGAAGTAAAAGCATCGATTTATTGTCCTGATAATGATTAACAGGTTAATTTTTATAACTAAGCTTAAGCTCTATATACAAAATAACAGACTACAGACTAAGAGAAAAAAATGAATGAAGAGGTTGTAGAAGTAAAGTTAAGAGAAAATGATTGAGAAGATGAGTAATAATAATGTGAGAAATTTTGAAAGCTCTTACTTTAGTACAATCTTATTTTCAATTCTTTTCCTTTTTCTCTTTTACAAACCATTGTTTTTTTCTTTTCTTTCCTTTCATTTTTGAATTACTTTCATGAAACTTTCATATGTTTTTCCTTTTTCAAACATTTCTGCTGAATTAAGTTTAGTCGTTATTACTACTATGCATTTACTTTATATAGTTATTAGTATTAAAATTAAAAAAAAAACTTTTTTTCGTTAATGAAATACAAATTTAAGTCAACAAAAAGATTTAAAGGAATAAAAGCTTCATTGTATAATAAAATATATTAAAAAAAAAAAAAAAAAACTATTAGATAGATTGGATAATAACACTGAAAGAAATAGAATAAAAAATAAAAGGGAAACAAAAGAGAATCAAAGATATTAGTATTGCAAAAGCTATGAAATAAAAGACGACAACGAATAAAAGAACATCTTTTAAATGAAAAAAAAAAAAGTAAATATTTTTTTTTCTCTTTTTTCAAATTTCTTCTTTTAAGACTAAAATGAAACAGTTGAAGGTGAAAAAGCAAAAAAGATAACAATGAGAAAAGAAATTTTTCTAAATACTTTAGTTTAAAATTTCATTTTATTTCTTTTTTTATTAATGTCATTTGTTTTCGTAACGTAAGAAGAAAACAAATCAATATTTTTTTTTTAAACCTTACTTTATGACTTGAGTAAATTACTCATATTTTTTGATAGAAATTACGCTTGTGACATGGTTGTTATACGTATGACATACTATTTCACATATTGTAATTATCTTTTTTTTTTTTTTCAACAAATACGAAAGGAAAATGAAATTATACGATAAGAATCATTAAGAAAAAAAAAGTACTGCTGGTCAAATTGTACAAAGTTATCGATCAAATACAAATAACTGATGAATTTTCAGCAAAGTGTGATGATAAAAGAAATGCATTTCAAATGGTACAATGATAGATAATTTTCAAAATAAAAAAAGTTTAAGCATCAAGGAAGATTAAACATAGATAGTGAAAATGAAGATATTATTTCTATATAGATTTACTAATGTATTTATTCATTATCTTTCAGTCTCTAAACTTAAGTCCCTATTAAACTAAATATTACATACTTATTGCTATTTTTGCTCTCTCAAATTACTTGATTGACTAAAAATATACAAGTAATTTATCAAAGATGCTATTTTTTTTTTTTTCCTCTTGTCCTTTCTTTAAACTCAATGTTTATCTTATCTAAATGAAAGAAGGTTAGCAATGAGAGTGAAAGTAAAGATAAAGCAGTGTATAATATTTGAATTAATAACAATGTATAAATATTTAGATTAATTCTTTCAGCCTAAACTTAAGAAATATGAGTTGCATTCCAGGATTTAAAATGAACTGGTGAACAATTTTAAATATCATTTAATAAATTATGAAAAAATATATATATACATGAAAATAGCAAAGAAAAAATCATAGCAAACGCAACATTGCTAACTGTATTTAAAGAGTATTTCCAGAAACAAATTGAAGTTTTGAAGTATCAGTTTAAAATTTAATTCATAGTCTCATCATTTCTGCATCAATCTATGTTCAAATAATTATAATCCAAAATTTAATCTTCATTTACTCTACCATATTATTACAAGGAAAAAAAATTCCTATTTATATCCATTAGCTTTCTCATCTTTTTTTTTTTATTTTTCAATATTTGTTAGTCATGTTTGTAAATAGAAGATTTAAAAAAGTTTTAAAAGTAACTATCTAATTATAGACACAATCGATAATAGTAATCGACAATAGATCATATTATTTTATCATAATGACAAAAATAGCTGATAAATAACGCACTATTCCATCAAAAAAAAAAAAAAAAAATTTGTTGCTTTTTTTGGTTTACTCAGATATTTTAAAATTTATCTAATTGCTTGAGTCTCAAATGACTTTTCCTTTCTTCGTGGTAAACAAGAACTGATAAAAATGATAGGAAAAAAGAAAAGAAAAACTGATGTACATAGTACACAATCATACATAAGTGATAATAGCAATGACAAATAATTACAGTGATATATGCCAAAAATGTCAAATAACTATGTGAAATAAATGATTCGAATAATTAAAGAGAAATTTTAGTTCTAAAATATTACTTAATTCTCTCCAGTATTTGACATGAACTTTTGAGAAATTTACCACTTCTAAATATAAATCTTTTCGTAGGATGGAAAAAAAAAATGAATATTATAACACAACTAAAATGGAATAAAAATAAAAGATAATGAAGACAAATAACCATTTTAATAACTCAATAGATGATATTATAATGAGATAGACATCCCAATCAGAGTTTTTTTTATACATTCGGTAACATTTTCCAAAATAATTATTATTGTTTGTTCAATCAATATTTCTAATTGAAAAAAGAGTGAAGTAAAAGCAAAAGGAAATGATAAGAAATTGATAAATGTCATCCAATTAATCGAGTCGTTAATTACTTATCAAGTATTAATCAATCATCAATAAAGTTGTAGCAAACTGATTGCTTTACAATTAAAAAAAAAAAAAACATCCAAAAGCAAACATAGAACGATGATTCAGTTAAAAAGAGATCGAGAAATGATAATAACTACAGCAGATTGTATTTATGAGATTGCTTGCTTGTATTCAAGTATAAATTTTTTTCATTTTAAAAATACATTTCTAAAGTTGGTGAAAAAAAAAAAAAAGAGGAAAAGAGCAATAATGAAAAAAGGGATAGGAGAAGAAAAAAAAGTGAGGAAGGAAGGAGAAGGATAAAGTTAAGGAAATTAAATGAGACAGACAAAGGCCATTAGATGATCTTGAAAAGACAAATAAAAAAAGAATTCTTATGAAATGAGAGGGTAAAAGCGGTATATTTCTGTTTAGATGACAACAAAATTTGAGATAAAAATAGATGAAGAAGGGAGGAAGGGAGAAAAAGAAAAGAAAGAGAAAAAAGGAAGAAATAGAAGGTAAATTTGGTAGGAAATTTGATGCAATTGGGAATCATTTCTTTCAAAAATAAAAAAAAAACGGTTGCATGGTGGTTGGATATCACTGAAAGGATCACTTACAAGGACAAAAAAAAAAAAAAAAATTATTTGGAACATGAGTTTATATCGCCTATATTTAACAAAAGTGAACATTTAGGGATTGAAAACAAATAACATTAAAATTTATATTCATTAAATTTCAGGATATTTTAATCAAAGATAAGGACAATCTGGAATTTAATGGGTAATGAAGATATGTTCGAAAGAAATAATGCATACATAACTGTAATGATCAAAACAATAATTACATTGTTTTCTTGTTAAATTTTTACAGTTTTAAAATTAGAAAATGAATTAATTGGAAATATATAGATCAAATTTACATAACCAAAAATGTTTGAACAAGACTTTATAAATTATTTTCCTATTACTTTTTCTTTGCCAATTTTCGAGACAATATCTCCAAAAACTAGGATCTGCTGATAAACTTCATGCAATTGGTACAAAATTTCGACCAATCGTTCGTGAAAATTACCAAAAATATAACTTTAGAGAAGGAAAGCTAACAATAGAGTCATTTTTCGATTATCCAATTGGTTTTCAGTGATAGATAATAAATATCATGAATGTCAATTAGTTAGCAGTAAATAAACATTTGGAAGCATATTAACATATTAAGAGACATTATAAGAATAAGAGAAACGATTATAAGAGAAACGAAATTTTTAAATATGACGAAGAGCAGATAAATGGTTTGCTAAAAAATCTTTAAGGCAAATAAAATGTTTACCAAACTGAAATATTATTCCTTTCCGTATTATAGGAGATAGTAAAAAGAGTATGGAAAAGAGTATGACTAGTGACAAATAGTTTCGATGATTAAAATTCAGTCCTAAAATTTAACATAGAAATAAATTAACTAAACAAACCCTCGATAATAAGTGATCTTGCTGCTGTTGATCGGTTAAGGAAGATGAGCCTGAATGAAGTGGATCTGTTGCACTATATCTAAGTTGTTGGCCACTAACTTTCCGTGTTGCTAATGACACAGACTGGGGACGTGGATGATTACCACTTAATGATCCTTGCTGTTGTTGTTGTTGTTGTTGTTGCTGCTGCTGTTGACCGTTACTGAAGAAACGCCTAAAAATGATTTATTAATTGAGATACAATTAGCGATGTGAAAGTAATCAAGAAAGCCTAGAATGAAGACGTAAAACCAAAACAAAAACTATAATAGTAAATGTTAATAAAAAAAAGAAGATCCTAAAATCTAATTAACTTTCGACACTGAGCAAAGGAAGCTTAAAATCAATTTGAGATAAAAAAAAAAATAAAATAAATGAAAATAAAGAATGAGATTAAATGAAATAGCCTTAAGTGGACTGAAGAAGTCGAAAACAAGCTAAACATAAATATGTGCGCTTGTAACTAGACAAAATAACTTGAAAAGAGAAAAAATCTGAAATTATCTAAAAGGAATTATAATAGAAAAAAAAGCTTAACTGTAATTATCGTTAATATAACTAAATTAATCTTAGAGAAAATTATTCGATAATTTTTGCCTTTCAGAGAAAAACTTATCCTTTCATATCCTTCAGCTCATTATGATAGCAAAAGTAAGGAATGAAATTCTGCAAACACATATCATCTCTCTAAATACCTAAAAAGGAAAATTATCCTAAGTGAACTTTCCTAATTAATAGCTTACTTTCAACTCTCTATTATTCTTTGCATAAATCATCTTTTTTCTCAGACTAATAATAATTCAATTAACCATAATAGCAGAATATGTTTTTTTTTTTTTTTTTTTTGCCAATGATATATAACGATTACAGACAATTGTATTAGGTTTTTTGACAGTTTGCTATTAAAGTATTTCACATAAACGATCATCAATTAGCTGCAATATTTTCAGTTTGGGTCACTTGATTTTCTCAGTCAGTGATTTCATTCCTTTTGCTTTATTTTGATTTAACAATTTTTTAGATATAATTTAATTCCTAGCCAGAAAAAAAAAAAAAGATAAACAGATAGCAAAAATTAACCATGATGATAAAATAGTTGGAAATTGATTCAGATAATTATATAATAAAAAAAAAAAAGAAAATTGTTTAGGTTGAATTAAGAATCGAAAAATCATGATTGAATTATCCAAATAACCCAAATAAATTTTTTATTATATCTTTTATTATAATTTTTTTTTTTTTTATAATTATCCAAATAAATTAACAATATGATATAAACTGACTTCATTTTCATCATATCTTCACCAGCTATACCTTTGCTTAATTTTATCATTTTTCAACTTATATTCTTATCATTAAACAGCCTAATAATTGTCAGAAATTTCAGCATTCTAACACTTTTGAATAAAAAACAAATGTTCCAATAATAACTCAATTCTATGAATTTATCTTCTTCAAAAATTTCCCCCTTTTTTTTTATTTTCATTTTCTGCATTGTTTCGGTTTGTTCTTTGCTTTAAAATAAAAAAAAAAAAAAATCCTGCTAATATAATAATCTTCGTTAGTTATCAATATCTCATTATTCATATGACATATCTTTTTATTTTTTCATTATTCAGAGTACTTTCTGGAGAAATATGAAAAAAAAAAAAGATAAAAAGGAAAAAGAGGAATGATTAAAAGAATAAAATATTTAAGCTTACCGCAAACTTTTCCTTTTAACAATATTTTGCGTCGATGAAGTGATATTGGTTAAATATGTTGGATCCACCAAGGGACGATCTGTTGAGCAGGATGCTGATGAGCCATCTAAAAGAATAAAAAATCAAGCTAATATTTGTACAATTTTCAAAATTATTAACTTCTTTTTTATCTTACTCTTTCTACTTATCAATGCTAAAAAATAACATAAAATAAAGTTAAGCAGTGTGTATAAAGAATATAAATGTAAAAACATGCAAATATGCACATGAAGTTTCTCATTGCCAATTGCTTCAAGGCATAAAAATTTTATGTATTTCTATAAAGACGATAAACTATAGTTCTCACAGACGGCGGTAGTAATGTATGTGATGAAAAATCTTATCATTACAGTGTAATAATATTATAACTATTCGTAGAATAAATGCTAATAGTATTAAATTTAATAAATTTGAATCGAAATTTTTGAAAGTACTAGAAAATCTCCCCTTAACATATACTAAAAAAGCATATAATTAGCGTATACTAAAAAAGAAAAAGAAAATGTAATTAGCATATGTTAAAAAAAAAAATTTTTTTTTATCATTAATCATTATTGGAATTTTAAAAAGCAGATTTACAACAAAAGAGTAGCAACTTTCATGTTTTTTTTTTTCTTTTTAACATGATATCTCTAGAGGCTACTAAATACAAATTTTCATATTATGTCTTATCAAATTTACTTACTGTAGTCTAAAAGATGAACTCGGATATTTGTAAATAAGGAATAATAAGAAATGCAAACAAAAAATGACGCAAAAAAAAAAAAAACTCACATTACAAAGATTCATTCAATATTAAAATACCTCTTCCATTTATTTTAATCCTTATATAGTAAGTAAATTGTGAGTATAACTAAAGTATTCAATTTTAGCTTTAAAAAAAATAACTATTTCAAGAAATTGCATTTCAATTTTTCTTTATTCCTAGACAGTCATTATTTGAATGGTTAACAGCAAACTTACTGATAAATTTTTAATGAATAAATGAAAAAAAGGTTTTTTTGAAACATTTCTTAAAATTGTGCAAAAAAATTTATCAAAATGAATAAAATTAATTAAAATATGACTGAACTTACATTAAAACATCATTTATAGAGTTAATACAGAACTTCCACCTATTATTATTATTATTAAAGATCTGTTGATTTGAAACATATATATATATAACTCAAGGATGAATAATACCTCTTTTTCAACTGAAACAACTAATATAGACTTATCCTAAAATTAAAATATCATAAATTACAAAAAAAAAAAATTGTAACAATACCAGTTAATACATGGAATATTTACAAGTGAATTGAACGAAGAATAATAAATTTGAAGACGAACCATTAAATGAACTACCAAGCACTGTCTTTTCAGGTGTAGCAAAAATAACTTCCACAGGATTATCAAAATCACAATCTGTACTTTTCTGGCATCTGCCCGAAGTTGATGAAAACCAATGACGACGCAACGCTAATGACCAACGTTGCATACGACTAGTACGGGATGAATTACCTGATCGTTTACCGTTTTCGCCTGATTCTACCGTATGTGAACGTTTCATTATTGCCCTGATCAATTTACACAATAATCTATTACTGTACTGGCAAATAATAGAATAGACGAATCAAACCATACAAACAACCATTTACTAAACCATTATTAGCTAACCGAATGGCAAAAATGATAATGAAATTGAAAGTCTTGCAAAAACATATTGTTAAGATTAAACCATCTAAGGAACTTATCACTTTTTATTTTTCTTTTGATTTTATTTCTTAAGAAATTATACCATAACTCCATTACACTTAATTTTAAATGTAGTAATCAAAAAGAATGCAAAGAAAAGAGAAAAGAAACATCGTTAAAAGTAAAGAGATATCTTAAAAAAATATCTTGTAATTTTTTTTTTCCTTTCCTTTAGAAATTAAAATAAAACGAAAAAAAAAAAAAGGAATAATAAAATTCCAAATGACTAGAACTGCAGAAGAGATATAACAAAATAATAAAAAGGATTAAATTGTTATTTTGAAAAACAGAAATTCAGAAATTTATGATGATTGCTTAATTTTCATTAAAAAAAAAAAGTGCAAAGTGTTATTGTATAAAGAATACATTCGAGTAGAATGTATACAGTATGTACTTTTGTTCATACTTTCCATCTATTAAACTATTTATTTCCTTGGTTTGTTTCAAACATTAGCAAAATTTTTAAGCTTTAACAAAGAAGAAAAAAAAAAAAACTTAAGACAAGAAAAATAAATGAAAAAAAAAAAAAAAGGAAAGGAAATGAAATGAAATGAAATGAATAGCATGATGCAATCTTTCTTCTTTTCAAATTGTACAGAAGAAATTAACGTAAGAAAAAGAAAAAACTTAGATAAGTTAAAAATGATAAATAGAAATGTTCAAAAAAAAAAACTATGCGAAACAAAATTAAAATATATAATAGAAAAAGAAGAAAATAGAAGGTGAAAAGAGATAAAAAAAAAAATATATGAACAATATAAACTGAACAAGAAGTAAATGAGTCTTGAAAAGAAGCTTAACGGAAAGGGTAATTGAAAGTGAATGAAAAATTGATTACAGAGAAATAAATATAAGAGAAGACCTTCTTTCTTTTTAGAAAGCAGCACTTCTTCACTAAATATGTAATATTGAGAAAGTTGAAAAAGCAAAGAAAAAAAGAAATCCACAAAATTCTCTCTCTCTCTCTCTCTCTCTCCTTTCTTTCTCTTTTTATTCATCTTAATTTTGAAGAAAAACAAAGAAAAGAGAAAAAGACAGAAATGACATGTAAAATTTTATCATTAATGATGCTATCAAAATATTTCATAAAATTCAAAAAAAAGTTGATATTAATGATTTTTTTTTTTTTGCTTACACATATTTGTTGCAATTTTTTGCCTTATTTTTCTTCCTTTTTCCTAATTTGTTTATCAACTAAAGTTTTTTTTTCTGTTCAAGTACTACTATAATAACTTTAAACATACTAATAATATACTATCCTAGATCTTACAAAAAAGTGAACATAAATTATTAAATGTATCTGAGAGTTTCGAGAAATTTAGAAAAAATCTCGAGAAATTATTACTATTGTAGAGATAATAACAAAAGTTTAGAGATATTAGAAATAAATGAGTTCATGAAAAAAATGTTCACAATATTGATGATTCGCTTTCATTAATAATATCAATGGCAGAAGAGATTGTCTAATAAAAGTTAAGCTAAGTAGCATCAAAAATACCACTCAATTCTGCTTAAAGGCATATTAGTACCTTTAAATATAAGGAAACTTTCGTCAAATATTTCCATATTATATTTAGAAATAAATATTGATTTTTTGTTTTATAATTTCTTACTTTCAAACAATTTTACAGAACAATTATTTTAGTATTGATAATGCATTAATCTCATTCAATTTCATTATTTAAGCAAAATTACATACTATTCTCCAGATGCTATTCATTAGTTCATTCCACTATTTTGACTTACTTTGATTTGAAAACACAAAATAACAGGATGGTGGGAGATTCATCGATCAGTCATATATTTTTAAATTCATAGCATACATTTCTGATCATATGGATAACTTTGGAATAACTAATTGAAACAATGATAAATGGATTATTAAACAAACAGATAAACAAAAAAAAAAAAAAAAAAAAAATGAAAACACTTCAGGAAGTGTCTATCTACCGGATTTAATTCCAAATCTATTAAAATAATAGAACAAATAAAAATTACATTAAAATCTCAAGCTAATAAACAATTCGATAAGAAACAAGAATGCTTTATAACTTGCTCACAAGATGCGAACAGAATGATAAAATGATGGACGAGAAGAAGTGCTGGGAAAAAGTGAAGAGAGGAAAAACATGATGAAACAGATAAAATTGACAATTTCCCCCGACACAATTGAATAATTAAAAATGAAATGAAACAAAATCTTATTTTAGGATGCAGTTAGTTAGCAGCAGATTTCTTTCATTTTTCTTTTCTTTATTGTTGTTAAAAAATCTAAATAAATTTTCTGCCTCATTGAAAAGGCAAAAAATTGGCTATACTTTATGAAATTCGAATTTTTCTAGGATCTTTTTATCTATTTCAACAGCTGAGCATTTGCAAGAAATATCATGTAATTGAGGATAAGCTTAAGAATTTAAACATTGTTAACTAATTTATATGCTTTTTGAGAGAACAAAAAAAAAAAAAAAAAGAAAAACTGGCAATATAGCACTTTGTTTTCGGAAATTACGAAAAAGCTTGCTAAATCAATCGATCATTCGAATTGAAAATACATTTCAGACATTTAAAACATAAAAAAATGAGTGATTTCAAATCTGTCAAATTTCAGTACATCAATAAATTTTGCATTCCGGAAGAATTGAACTGTTCAAAAGATGAATGTCAGAAATTTAAGTGCAAACGTCAGCAAACATTGGTAGCAATAAAAAATACGAAATTAGAAATGTTTTAGAACAATCTATCTGTGTGATGATTCACTTTATTACATCTGTTGCATATCCCTTTATCTCTCCTCTCTCTTATAACAACACTTTAAGCAGAAAAGTATCAGTTAGCAAATATTCCAACACTATCTATCAATAACATCATCGAAAATATAAGCTAAAGCTTAGATTTAAATAAACAGTAGAAAAGAAAATTTTAAAGGTAAACGACTAGACATTAAACATTTCTCTCTCTCAATGCAACTAATCATAATTAAACTTCTCATCATCCTCTCTCATCTTCTTCTTTTCAATTATAACTAAATCGAAAAGTAATTAAATCTTTTAATCTTTTTATTGAAACTAAAAAAAAAAAAAAAAAAAAAACAAAAATGAATACGAAAGAACTAAATGCACTATTCAGAGTGCATTGCAATGCATTTCAATCTTTTCACGAATAATGATTGAAATATTCAAAAATGATCACAAAAGAATAACGGAAGTAGTTCATGAAATTCATATTTAAAATGCAATATCATTTTCTAAATGATTGCTATAACTAGTCCAACTTATATTTCAATTCATAGAAAAGTTTTTTTTTTTTTTCAAATTTTTTTCTAAAAAAAGAAAAGTTTCTTTAAAAGAAAAAGCAAATGCGAATGTGCTATGAAAATCTACATCAAAAGCAATTAAATTATTGTGAAAATAAATTAACCTGTTGGTTCTACAGATGAAATAACCGAACAAGGTACAAGCCCTCGTTGCTGTTCACCATTTTCCCAAGTAATCGAAACAAGCACCCATTCCGGTGCATCTCCGTAATATTCTATCACCTGGAATTTTGCTTTTTCGAATTACTGAATATTCATGCAGTCTACATATATAATAATATACAGAAATGAAAGGAAGTGGCGAATCTATCAAAAAAAAAAAAAAAAATAAGAGAACATGTAAAATTTAAAAGCTTAAAAAATCTCTTGAAAAAAACTCTCTAATTACGAATAATTTTTTTGTCTTTTCCGCTCGAAGTTTTATCAAAACTTTCTTAGAAAAAAAAAGAAAACAGTCATAACAGTCAAATGAAAACATTCTTTAAACAAACATACACAAATCTCTCTCTTCTAATTTAAAACAAAAGAAAAAAAAAATCCATCGTATGAAAAAATGAAACACAGAAACGCATATGAAAATGAAACATAAAAGGAGATAGGAGATATACATTCGTTTTTATCTGCTTTTCCTTCTTCCCTTTATTTTATTACCAAATGAAAATTTTAAATTCATTTAATAACTGAAAATAATAAAATGCAACCATTTTAGGAGATTAACAAGAAAAGGAACTATTACAGTGTTAGCCTAACATCTAGAAAAAAGTTATTTCTTGCAAAGGAAAAAAAAATAAATCCCAGTGTATTTCTGAAATAGAACTGATCCGGCAAAAGTCAAGTCAGGCATATACGTACAAACACACACGGAATTTAACCTCAACTCGCTGTCCCTTGGTGACGGAAAGTTGTCCCTTCTCGGTTGCCTTGAAATCATCAACAGCTACACAACCTTCATTATGACCCTAAAAATAAATAACACATTTCGCTCCAAGGTTAATTTCTTTCTCTCGAGTTTTTTGAAAATTTTCAAACCACTGCACAATATGATTATTTAATGGCTTCATTATTTGTTGAGCAATGATTTTCGCAAAAAAAAAAAAAAAATTTATTGTGTTGATCTGCTTATACTCTAAACTCTAACAAAATTTTTTTCTAAAAATGAATCTTTAGTATGTTCATAAAAAAGTCAAAGGTCAAAGACCTCTATACTTATTTAACACTTCAAAACTTTCTGCACCATAATTGACATTTTTAGAAATTAAAATAATTCTTATAAGCTATTGTTACTATTTTTCATCATTATCAAATTAGATTCCGAGTTAAAACAAGAAAAAAAAAAAAAACATAAACTGTAGTATTGGAACTAATGATTGAATTGAACATTTAAAAAAATACAACTCAAATGTTGTGTAGAAATAAAAAAAAAAAAAGACAACTATAGCTACAATAAAATAATTTCTCTTAAACTCGTCATGATGATACAAATGATAGATACATCCTTTAAT